CCAAGAAAATAAATAAATAAATAAATATAATGAGAAATAAAACAGGAAACAACAATATTTCATTAAAACCTCCACTGTGATACTGACGGCAGAAGTAGGAATAAATACAGTAAACATAATAATAATATAATAATCTTTATAGAGCACTATGTTACATCATTTTTACAAAGTGATACACAGATTGTAATTAAATATAAAAATAAATATACAAATAAAGAATACCAAAAAACAATAATAAGAGGAGAATAAAAGTCATAAAAATACAATTTTAAAAAGAAATAAAATAGTAAAAAGATGACATCAAATAAAATAAAGTTTATAAAAATGGGTTCAAATATGTTAGTTTGTTTAAAAAAATTATTTATGTTTCATTAATTTAACGTCATTATGTCAACAGGTAAAAAGGATAAATGCAAGTTTATATCGCCCAAAGTTCAAATAAAACTGTAAAAGATGTTAAAAATGTAAACCTTTGCAATAGAAAACTGTTTAATTCTGATTAAAACCATTAAATATAAACATATTGAGTCAGTTTCAGTGGGATGTGACGTTAGGGAACATCAATCAGTGATCAATAGCAGATCAATCAGTGTCCTCTCTTTAAACTCTCTGATCTGATCGATCAGTAACAGACATGAAAGGAACAAAAAAAACGTCCTCCGACTGAAGACTGAAGAAACATTTAATTAAAACAACAACAGAGAAACCCAGTTAAACATAATATTACACATTATATTGATTATTCTATTATTTTAAAATATATGTTTAATGTTTATTTTTATTTCTATATTTGTGTTTATAGGGTTAGAAGTTACACTTTTCTGGCCTTGTTGGCCTTCCATACCTCTCTGCTACTGGTATGATTTGCATAATATATTTGGTAAAACTATATTTTTAAGAGTCCAAAATATATAAATGATTTCATTGAAAGTTACTTTGAAAAAAATATGTAATCTGGTGCTAATTTTCTAATAATTAGTAATTCTAAAAACAAAACATGTTTATTTCTATTGTACATTTTAATATGAGGCCTTATGGAGACTGACTCACTGGGAGAGCCAGCCTCTAGTGGCTGTCAGAGGAACTGCATGTTTTGTTATTTTTATGCTGCCAGCATTTAGTTTAAACAATCGATGTATAAAAATACAAAAATGTACAAAAACACATCAGTGGAATTCATAAAATGTTAAATGTTTCTCAGCAAGCTTTATTTTGAAAGTCAAACTGCACGTTATATATGAGCTGTCACTAAAATACGTTGCTGTATCGAAGAAGACCTGAAACTAAAGACTGAGACCAAAATCTCATCAGAAAACTGTTTACTGAGCTCATAAATCAGGTGAGAAGTCGGCTCATTTCTCCACAAGACTCAATACTATCAATGGTCCTTTTGAAACCAGTTGCCCCCTGATGGCCTTTACATAG